GGTAGAAGTTCTAGCTAAGAGCAAGTACCTAATGTTTTACGTTTCCATGCTTCATTGGTGCTGCTAAAACACAGCACTTAGATTATAAGCATTTTGTCATTTTAAAGATGACTGATTCCTGAATCCTGATTTATCAGCTCTAAATCAGATGGCTTGTCGTGCATTAATGCAACTTGGGTAGGCTTATGCAGGCTGATATATTTTGACAATTTACTCAAGTTAGATGACCCGGCAATGCCGGCATTAAACATCAGGGAGCAGTTATTAGATGGCTCACGACCAAATGTATTTAAACGAAATTCATGAAAGCTAAATTTGAAACCGAATCTTTGAATAGCCATGTCCCTGCATATCTTAAACTTCTCTTTCTTCTCCAATATGGGATTGGATATTCGTAATAGCTGAGCTAGCGTAACATCTACGTCACCCCAGTTATATTATTACAATGCCGCAAAATGCCGGATGCAAGTGGGTCCCTTTCAGATAAAATAATCAGAGTTTAAAAAGGCTAAGGTATGCAATAACAATAGAGCCCAAGACTCATGGATGAGTTGAAGCTATGGTGACATAATTTTTTAGGGAGCCAGAACGGCAAGATAATGGCGTTATCTTATATGGTTCATCCAATTAGCATCAAATAGGCAAAAATTGGAGCATGTGTACATGAAAGCATTTGGGAGGAAAGCATAAGAGAACTTGTCAAATATACTTTCAAATCTTACATGTAGGCCATCAAAGTGCCATTTTGACATCACTTGACGGTAGGTTGGTTGCTCGTGGCCGCGGCCGGAACCGCACCAAATGAGAGCGACACGACACGTCACAGCGCAGTCCGCTCGAGCGCATGATGCAACGGCTCTGCAGCATTGGAGCTGAGCTTCAGCCGGAGTTATTTCTGCCCGGGCGGCTGCGGCCGCGCCGGTTCCCAGTAGCGCTAATAGGCCGCGATTCACCAGCGCCGGCAGCCCGGGGCGTTATTAACCCGGCAGGCGGTGGGCCTACCAGCCACCTTCCACGCGGTGGGGGGGGGGGCACTTTTTTGCCCCCCCCCCCGTATCTCCGAAACTACTGGACGGATCCGGAAAATTCAAACGGCGTTCGATAGCCCTGTAGAATTTGTCACAAGAAACCAAATTTCATTGACCTCGGGGTCACCGATGACGTCACAGGTCAGGTCAAAGATAAAATGTTTCACCGTTCACAGGGCTTCTAGGGAAAGCGCTATAACACCGAGTAAAACGCATTTTGTCGAAAATCAGCGATAAGGCGTCAGTTGTCTAGTACATATGTTGCTATTAGAGGTCACTGGTCATACCAGGTCAGGTCACAGGTCAGGTCACCAAAGGTCACCAAGGGTCACCACATGAGCCCAACTTTACTAAGGTTATGTGATGCATGTTTTATGGCCAGTTTTTCATTTCCAACTCAATGGTGTTGTTTATAAGAGCATCAGGTACGGTTTAGGTCACTTTCTGGTGGAGGTCAGGTCAAGGTCAGGTCAAAAAAGGTCAAATTTCAAAGTTGATATTTTTGCACAAAATGGGTATCGATTCGATGCAGCTCGTCACGGGGAGTCTAATGGTGGTCTTTGTTTTGCGCTACGAGGTCTAGAATTGCTAAAAATTGAGTTTGAAAATTTGACGTCATCAATTTTGAACAGTTTTTTCGCTATAACTTGGCCAAAAAACGAGGTATCGATCTCAAATTTGGTATGTAGATAGAAGGCGGTAGGGACTATCACATATATTCCGGTTTTTTTCGAAAATCAAAAAACTTTTTGAATTTTTTGGCTATTATATTAAAAAAATCTATTTTTTGATTTTTGGGGGTCGAAATCCAAAAAAATTGAAAAACCGAAATTGCAGTTTTGTAGCCCCTTTGATTCCACACCTTTTATGTCTAAAACATTTTTCTGTATCTCTAAAGCTGTAGGCCTGACAGCTCTTCCCGCGAAACCTTTTTTTGGGTCGAAAATGGCAAAAATGACGTCACTCTTACGTCATTAGCGGCCAACCTATCATAGCCTTTGGAAAAATTTTTGGTCACCATGTGCGCTAGCTGCTCCCGGGAGGGTACTGAAAGTTTGGTGACGATCGGCGCAGCGGTTCTCGAGATATATCGAAAAAAGTAAAGGGGGGGGGGGCAAAAAATTGCCCCCCCCCCACCGCCTGGAAGGTTAAAATATGACCGTCCGTAATGGCGCCGGCACAGCGTGCGCCAGGTGACACGGCGCCTCGAGGTCAGCCGGCCACCCACGGGTGACCTCAGTGCGCTGAGCGCTCCGACAGAGCTGAACAGGACTGCACCGACGGGGGCGCGATTCGTACCCATTGAGCGGGTGACCAGGTCATTCAGGGGTCCGGGTACGTACGTGCCTTTGGTTGAGGTGCATTTCGGGAATATGCAAGAGCCTAATGCTGCTATTCATGAGCTTTTAGCCTGGAGCTGTGTTCATAGTTTTAATGAGCGAGGTGCCGCACTCAAATGGAACGTCGGAGCTTTCCCGCACGGAGAGGTGAGAAGATGAGACATTTCTTCTTGGAACTCACGGCAAGAGAAACACCCTGGTTATGAGGAAGGATGCAGTTATTGCAGATGCATGCACAGAGCAATGAGCATGCACTATTCTCATATGTGAGGTAACGCAACAAAATGATCGAAAGGCTAGGGCTAGTGAATGTGACATTTTATCTTTTATCAAGGTAAGCTTCAAATTATTCACTCACATATGTAACTCATGTTTTATACGTATACCATTGCATTCCAAAACAAGATTGGTACAACCTTCAGCTGAGAAAATAAAACATCCGGATTAAAAATGACTACCAATCTAACATTTGCAGAACGAATTGCCTCTTCCGACATGATTGTTTGGCTCGCACTCCAAGCTGACAGTGACGCACTCTTGTAAATTGATTTTCCAGCTCAGCCCGGGTGGATCTCGGCGCAGGCTGCCCTGCACACCGGTCCCAGCGGCCCTCGGAGCCGCGCTCCCGAACGGGGCACGGACCATAACCTCCTCGCCGGGCCGACAGAAACGAACGCCCGCCCATTCATCGCAGCCGGCGCGGACTGCCGCGGAGCCACGCGCATCTACCGAAACAAATCACTTACATCGGCGAGGCCGGTCCGGAAACATTCGTCACTGTTCGGTGCCGGGGGTCCGCCAGCGTCCGCCGCTCCTGCCATCCGTCATGGACCGTTCCCTGTCACTGTCTACCCCTTCCTCCGTGTGCCGGCCGTCTGTGGCGCCCTTTAGCGCCGACTTGCCACTCCCCTGGCCGCGCGCCACCGTCTGCTCTCTCTCTCTCTCCGTCTGCTCTCTCTCCCTGATCACCCTGCGCCGTCCTCCCGCCGCCGATCGGTGTCGAGCGATCTGTGTATCTTGCTCTCCACCGCGCGGCGGCCGCCGCCACGCGATGTCTCTCCAGCGGGTGCCCAGAGCCACATATTGGAATATATGGGGTTAATCTGGCGAAAAGGCGCTGTCCATCTCGCCATGAAAGCCGATAGCCGCTGAACGTTTGACGGGCCGAGTCAGCACCCGAAGGGCGCCGCCGGCCGCCGAGCCATCAGCGACGATGGCCAGGACCATCGACGTTTCTGTCCGACGACGGTCGGAGTCGGACGTCGTCGACCTCGACGGACCGACCGAGAGTGCGGCTGCGGTCCCGGCGACAGGACCGTCACCTTCCGGGGTGCGGGCCCGCCATTTCCGGCGCCGGGTGATCGGCTTCCGGGCCGCCCCTGGCCGCGGTACCGGGCGGCGCGGCGCAGACCGTTCGCGCCTCATTTGCGCCGCGGCCGCTCCGCCGGCTTGTGGCGGTGGTGTCCACGCTGTTCTACTTTGGGGTCCACCTCTCGGCCGCAGCCCGGCGGCGGTGATCGATCTCTGAGCCCGCCGACCCGCTCTGACCCGTTTTCGAGCCCACTCTCGTCTTCTATCGACACGGCCTTCCCATCGGCCGTCGGTGACGACTTCCGACCGTGGCCTCATCAATTGAGAGACGCACACAAAAAGCGCCGCTTCGAGAACTCGAGGCCATGGGCGCTGAGCGATGGTTTTGCTGAGGGCCCATCCAGAATGGGCGGTGAACGGCGGATCAGTTTCGAACCTCCCGGCTGTCTGTTTGCTCTCGTCTGAGCATTTGAAGAATGTGTAGGCAAAGCGTGCAATGCTGCTTCTTCTTGCTATGGCTGCTATGCAAGATAATTCCGGGCTTAGGGAGATAAACAGAACCGACGAGATTCCACGACAGATATTGGCTCGCAAATTCCGCAGTTATCCGCCGCTATAGCGCCCAAGAATGGCGTAAGCTCTCAAAACAAAAGCCCGGTTTTATTTCCCTGGATGGGCCGGCTTTTCGCCCGGGGTTCTCAAGGATATGACGGCACCACTGCTAAAGAGGCGTGCGTGGTGCATTACAGACATAAAGGGCAGAGTGACCGTTGATTTAGTCAATAGTAGAAGTCTAATGTGTATGTTTTCCAGGCCACTTTTAATACAATTCCATTCTTCACTGCGGAAAGGCAATCACCGTTTTACTACATTAGGAGATGGATATTACGATAAAATGAAAATTTAGGCCTCAACAGCTTGCTTCTATTTAATCTCCAGCTTCCTCTGACAAAAAGAAAAGAGAAGAAAGACGTTGAGGACAAAAAGAGATAAATGGGAAAATCATGACCTAGTAGGTTTGCATAAACAAGAAATGTGGAAAGTAGATTAATTAGTAAGGAACTTCTTCTGGGTGACAAGAACAGCGTTTCCTTGTCAATTTATGACGAGTTTGTGGCAGACTCACTCAACACTCGTAATGAACCAGCTCAGCTTATTGTTAATCAAGCCAGTACCGCGCCGATTGCATGGTGTTATGGCCACGCAATTAAGACCACTTTGGTCCAATGAGGTCAGAGATGGCGGCGGGTCATTGAGGTCAGCCGTGCCGCCGCGCCGGTCTGGGGGGCAGTCAATGGGTCAGCGCGACACGCGTACCCACCTCCCACAAAGGCTGAGCTGGCGCTGCTCCCAGCGCTGGCGCTGACGAGTCGCCGCCCTGGACCTCGTCCGTCACCCCATCGCGCCGCCCCCGCCCGGAATCACACCGCCGCGCGGAATCACACCGCGTCTCGCCGCCGGACGACACACAGCCACGCCGCCGCACCACGACACTGCTCTGAACCAAGCCGCACCGCCAACCCACCGCTCACCGAGAGGTCACAGCACACGTCGTGCTCGACGCAGTCCGTCGGTCACCGCACCGCGTCGACCGGTCCCGTCGCCACCGACGGCTGAGCGCGACTGGCGCGGCGCGCCGCCACTGCCGCCGCCGCGCCGCCACCGCCGCCGCACGCCGCGATTCATCAGAGGACCGACGGATCTGGGAGCTGCTCCGTGCGCCGGCCGCCGGAGGTGACACGCGCTGGGTGCCGGCGGGCGGGGCGGGGCGGGGCCGGTGGCAGGGTCCGCCGCCCCAGGCGCATACAAACTGGCCCGGCGGCGGCCAGCACGCGCCGGCCCGGAGACGGACGGTGCCCGGTTCTAATGACGGCGGCGGCAGGCGTCAGGCGCCGCCGAAATGAACGTCACCGGCGGCAGAGAGATAAATCTCCCGTTAGCGCTCAGTGTCGCGGAAGCAATTGCTACCTTACTGAGAAAGACGACCTGGAGACATTGAAATTGATAAATAAGGCAGGTATTGCCTCGGAGGCCATTTGTTAATCAGCTTGAAAGCGGAACTAACTTGACTTGGGAAAGTTTATGACGCGAGGTCATTTGGACAGGATTCAGACTCTTCTATTTTTTAGATTCGAAATGGGAAGTCGGTGAGTAATTCAGTGGCGAGAAGAGCCGTGTAAAGGAAGTTTTTAATTTCGTTTGTAATTAGGGATACAATTCACTGCGCTGAACTCGCAATCACGGCGGATCCTGAAAAGTCGAATTCGTATAATGAAATGAAGTCGCATTCATTTACACAGGCTTTGAGCCTGAGGAAATGTGGGCCACCTCTATTTCCGATCATCTTCCGATTACCGTTTAATGCAGCAGCAATTTTTTGCGATAGGTAGTTTATAAAGCTATCCTAACAACGTATTGATTGCTGTCTTTACATTCCCTATGCCTCGTTAGTCCATCTGATATGGTCCATTTTTAGTCCGCTATCGGACGAAGCGCTATATAGCATCTGCAACCCCAGCGTCCCTAACCAGACTGTGTTTGGCAGAAGCTGTTGTGACCTGATCGATTCATCGACCAGACACGTATCAATGACACATAAGTCTCATATACAAACTGGCTTTAAACCAAACATTGCAGGATCACTGCAGTATCCGGTATCTCTGTCGGTGAGTTCTAATGAGTGAAACATAACATCGGAACAAGATGCGGCTGAATATTGCACAGAGGCGGATCCAGCTCAGAGGTTTGGGGGGGGGGCAAACCATAAAAATTTATCGATTCTTTCCATGCATCGTCCATAGGCGTAATGTTAAAATCATGCCGTTTGGGGGGGGGGCAAATGCCCATTTTGCCCCCCCCCCTGGATCCGCCACTGGTGAGCCTTGGATAAAACTTGTACTTCTCATGTAAAGCCCACATTATTCCAATATTAGCATGCATCGCTGCTTTTCATCACAGAAGCAAGTTCATGATCATGAATGCTTCTATGCGCAGCATGCCCGACGATGACATCGTATTGCATCAGTTGCCAGCTCATCAGCACAGTATCAAACCGATAATGGGCTTACGGCGTCCTAATGAGCGTTCGTTTCAACAATTCCGCCCGACGCCGACCATCACAATGGTCTCACACGACTGGGCGGCCGGCTTTTCGTGTCAAACGACCCAACTCGGCGTCATCACGGGCCGGCGAGCGGCGGCTCTGGTCGGGACGGGTGGTGCGATCGACGGCGGCCGCCGCCAATGGTCGGCCAGATTGGCCGGCCGATCGCCGGGCAGATGTCGGGGGGAGGGGGAGGGGAGGGAGAGGGGCTGCTGACCCAGCTGGGGCTCATCAGCAGCGGCCGGAGCTCTGCCACCGGACGACCGCCGGCGCCGCCACACACACGGCGCGGTAAACATGCAGACGTTACATGCATAAACAGGTGGGACGGCTCAGTGACATGATGCAACGCAACGCTTCTGCGCTTCGGCGCTGGAATTTATGGCTGTTTTAGAATCCGTGTGTCGTTTGGAGGCGACGAATGATGACCAACTACCAAGCCGTTGATCAAGTTCTTGAAATGCTGACGAGCCGGCGAGTGACGAAGGCATGTTCTTGAAGGAACTTTATCCGATTCTGATACGATCCGCAGACTATACGGGACTTTGTGCGACTCAGCTATATTCCCCGGCGCTGAGGCCATCGTCGACCCTATCTGCTGCACAAGTTGTGAGCTGCAGCCCCGCTCGTTTCCGAGCTGCCGACTAGACCTTCCGGAGCTCAGTAGTGTCGCCGGCCTACCGCCGGAAACGACTTTTAAAAACAGGCCCGGTCTGTGCGGCTCCCGGACAAACAATTCAAAGCCAAACAGGCGGAGAGCGGCGCGGAAAGTTGGTACCGGCTGACATAGTCAGGCAGGCCGCCGCGCCGCCCAGACGGCGCTGCAGGATAAAGTACGAGGGAGGGGAAGGAAATGCGCTTGGGATATTGTGTTGTTACCAACAAAGCAACGTTTAGTGTGCTCGTCCTGCTAGAAATGAGAAGAAAACAAAACTTAAGTGATGGTGAAGTACAGGCATCAGTGGTACTGTTTAAAGTCAGGAATGTTATTATCTATAACTTATTTGGGCTTGGGCAATTAATTTAAAAAAGAAATATATCAATGCTTAGTTATTCAATCTATCAGCGTAGCGTGATATATACCTACCTCGCATCGCAATATAGACCTTCCTATGTTTTCATAATGTTCCTTCAAGATTTTCGCTTCAAATGATAACGAACGCACTATCCTGCACAATAGGTACACACACATACCTACCAAACTGGGGCTCCACATCAAAAATGAATATTCCGATTGTCATGTTTGGCACATGCCTATAGCTGCAAGAAATTGCTCTAATTATTTACAAAGTCAAATGCAAAATCCTCCAAGAGTTTCGCTAAACAAATTGTTCGGGTCATGCAGCACCAGATCCATGGTAAATTGTCAAACTTGCTGAAGGGAAACAAGCAAATCGGGAAAGTTGCTACCAACAAAGGAAACTGTGATTCACGACTGTGAAATGTAACACACATTCAGCTTAGAATCAATTACTTGTACATAATTGCTGTCTTACTTATACATTGTTTGACCTTATAAGGCATATGTCTATTAGAAGCCTTATCTCTTTCATTTTCCTCATCCTGTCCTTATTATGCTTCACCAAGAATAGCAGCTAATTCAGAGAGTCTGGGTTTCTGTGAGCCGCGGCTCATGACAGCTGCCGGCTCGTTACACGGTCTCGTGGGTGTTTCCCGCGCCCACCCTCAGCCGGCCTTCATGGTGATAGGGAGGAGGCCCGCAAAGACCATCTCCACCCCCACACACTGGCTAATTGCGGCGGACAACTAAGCCGACTGACTAATTGTGGGAGCATTGACGAATTGTTGGGCGAGAGAGGGGGTACTGATGGAGGAGAGAGGGAGAGGGGGTAGAGCGAGCAGAGGTAGAGAGAGGGAGGTGGAGGACGAAAGAGTGAATTGGGCAGTGGATGGGAGGCGACCTGCAGTAGACGTTAGACGGTGAAATGTGGAAGGTGAATTGTAGACGCAAGACGATGGATATAATTGACGGGAGACAGGAGCTTTGCACGGTGGACGGTGGACGATGGACGATGGACGATGGACGGTGGACGGTGGACGGTGGAAGGTGGAAGGTGGAAGGTGGACAGTGGACAGTGGACAGTGGACGGTGGACGGTGGACGGTTGGTGGTGGAAATTGAACGGTGCAAGGAACACAGTGATGAATTAACAACGGAGAATGTGCAGCGAAAGATGCACGTATGGTATAATTACTCACTCAGAGAAGGAGGTCTGCTCATTGTTCCGAGATGGACGATAGACGGTGCCGGTATAAAGGGCAGGCTGACTGCCGGCAATGTTGACGTTCAGCAGAACCACAGGTGGTTTATATTTGAGACACCGTCTCGAGTCAGTCCATCAGCCCCGGCGAGCTCTGCCCGGCCGCAGTCCAGCTGGGGTGAGGAAAACTGGGCCCACCTGCTGTCAGCTGGCTCCTCGCCAGATGCCCCGCGGCCGCAGCCGCCCGGAGCCGGTCACGTGACCTAGCGCCCCGGGCAGTATTTGTCCGACCGCCCGCAAGCCACGGTCGGTTGCCATGACGACGGCCCTCTGAGCCGCATGGCCTTGCTGTTTAGTAATGTCATGCCACGCGTCGCTGATATAATGCATTCCTCGTAGAACGTCGTCATTTGATAAGCTTATATGAGGTCGTTCATTGACCCGTATTGGGTGATCACAATGCCATTCATTTGATCCTAGAGGAAGCTGAAAATAAGAGTCCTTCTTCCCTGTTGAATAAGAAGTTGATCAGTGGCTTGGATTTTGTGGCGTCTGCGCATTGAGGCGTCGGGTACCTAAATAGACCTCAGAGCAAATGCCGTGGAAATAGACATGGGAGTGGTAACAAGTTTCATTCAATGGATCCAAGACGACGATCGACTGGATTTCGATACAGCCTCCTGGCTATGAACTTCGGTCAGGTCACATTATAAACGCCTGGTAAGAAATGCAATTTTATTACAGCTTCTAGCTATAGCCTAAAACCTGGCTTCACGGTTCAAAACGGCCGAGACTCGGCGGAGCTGCGTTGCGGAACAGTCTATCGTCATTCGTCAGGCGCTTACCACTGCTGCCATCTAGCGTAACTTTTGTAAGTACGTGGTTAAAGGAAATAGTTCACTTTTTAACATGGGTTTTGAACTGGAATAGCAGTTCCGTAGCCTGGGCTGAGACGAGCATAAATCAGGGGCTTTTACAGCCCAACGATCACCCTAGGCAAAGATATTCTATTTCTCGTCCCGAAAAAGGTGTCTTGCGTTGAGGATGTGTGCCTTGCATATATTCGCATCCAGTATGAAACATGGGTGTAACTTTGTATACTTTCGAGG